TTAAAGTAGGTACCTACCTACTATAATACCAACTAGATTTGTAAAATTCCAAGTCTAACATTTTATACGTACATACTGCCGATCACAAAATGATTAATTATTATTTAATGTTATGTTAATTTTAATTGTATCGGATACCTATACCTATAGTTTTGATTTTACCATGTGTGTGTATTTAATTTATTATTTTTTGTTGTGTTTGGTGTGTACACGATAAAAGGTGGCACCTTTCAGTCGAAATAAACCTTCGTTTTCCATACATAATATATTGTACTCTGTATCTATGTAATCATATTGTTTATTTTTAAGTTCATTGTATTTAGTAAATAATAATATCGTCAGCTAAGACGTCATACCTCGTAATTAAAAAAACGTATTTTGGGATATATACATCAAAATGTACAGAAAAAATAAACACATAAATAATTGAAAATACTATTTGATAAACTGCACTTAAAAAGATGTAGTTAAGTAAACTAATAAAATATATGAGGTGGATAATGTATATAAAATATAAAGATTTTATATTAAGTATATTGTTTTAAATACTTCGCGCAAATCTAAGGTGATATCCGGCGTATAGTAGGTATATGCAAAAACCAAAGGTACGTATTAAACTTGGTGTGGTGAAACGAAGACGGCCTTTTTACTGTTCGGTCTCGCGTGTTTTATACATTGCGCTTTTAGGATTAAACTTATAAATGCTTCTACGTCACCCACTTAACAGTTTGGCTGTGGCAATAGATATTTAATTTAAGTCTTTATGTAAATATAAAATAGTAATAATATGAAAACAAACTTACGCGCAAACATCGACTCTTCCGGTGCAACCTTGCTAGAAAAAACAGCTATCTTCATCCATCTTCATCTCTCTCCGGACTGAAACTTGAAAGTGTCGAAATATTTTATAAAAATAATCTGATCATAACGAAATGTACGAGTTTGTGTTAAAACTTACATTATAATAATATATACGGCTTAACGAACTGTCCGCTATACTAATGGCTTATTATTTTTTTGTTCACTAAAATTATTAGAATTGTTAATCGTTGCCGATGAATGCCAACAATTATTATTGACGATTGCCATAGATATTTTTATAAAATATATTATTTACTATGATAAATCCATAGAACTTATATATTATACTCAGTACCTATAACGGTCTATTGATAAATCGTATGCACTTTTACAGAAGTCTTTGCGATCAGCAATGTACCTATTCTGGTTTTCTATTTAAGTTATAGTTCGCATGCCAAATTTAATTATGCAAAACTGGTCCACAAGTTTATAGACATTCTATTCGAATGCATTATCCTGCCAGTTCCTCCAAACACAGTGTTTCAGAAGTTACATTTTTTTGGTACCTAATTACAGTGGTGGATCCAGGGGTGGGCAAATCTGGCAGTCCCCCCCCCCCCCAATCGCCATATAGTTTTCCTTTGTTTTACACTATGTTTAGCCAATTTTGTTTGTACTTTCGCCACCCTTTGCCCCTCCTAAATTTAAGCCCTGGATCCGCCACTGCCTAATTAAATTACAATATGCATTTTTATAAGTTACCGCTGTAGGTATATTTACTTGTCCAAAACTCGACTACCCGGATTTAAATAAAAAATGTAATTTAGGTAACCTATTGGCTATTGATCTATATTATAAAATAGAAACTTAACCTATACCAATAATATCACTATGTAAAATATTTAAATGTGATGATTTGAAAACAATTTCTGAAAACCCCTAAAATATTTTTTTAAATGCAGTGTTATAATCTAGTTTAATGCTCACTCAAATTTTTCAGTTTTTTATTTCGGAAACTTATTTGTTGCAACCAGTTAAGAACTATATGATTCAAAAATGAATGGCCGGAAATCATTAGTTTTTATAGAATAGCCTTACAAAGTTCACGATTTTCGGTGTTTTATGCACCCGTACAACGCTTAAAGTTTACTTAGAGCTTAAGTATAACAAATTAAACTTTTTTTTTTACCTAGGTAAATCAAAGTTTTAAAAGTTAAAACCATTGCAAAATCTAACTTGACCTTGTGCATTACTACTATCTATAAATCATGCAAGTTCTGTAGTGTTCTGTACTGTATTAATAATAAGTAGGTAATAACAATACTTCTGTTTGCTCTCTAAGGCGTTATCATAATAAATAAATAGATAATAATTTCTTTCTAATAATTACGTTACACTTAGAGAATGATATATTCAAAAGAATTATATTTACTTTTATTTGTTTGTATGTATAGTCAGCAAAAGAAAGTTTCCAAATAAACTTGGTTAGCAATAATATAGACTTGCATGCTGTTTTCTTCAGTAAGTTCATACGCCTATTTCAGCATTATAATTTTGAAACGGACAAAATATACACAGCTAAATAATAATCTTTTATTTTTTAAACTGATTATATTTGGATAGAACGAAGTATAGACATTAAGTTATTGTTGAGATCTCGAGAAACAAATTTGAACTAATTTGGAGTTACCATTATCTTATCATATGTGCACATTCATTGGGATTGGGATTGGAATAAGAGTGGGTGGTAAATTGATTCCGATGATCCGGTTTGCAGACGACATCGTATTATTAGCAAAAACAGAACATGACCTCCAGAGCGCCCTGGCAGAAATGCAAATAATTATAAATAAGTATCAAATGCATATAAATTCAGTCAAGACAAAAATTTTAGTCTGTGCACGTGAACCCACAATAAACGCTAATATTTATTTAGAAAACCAACTTATTTCCCAAGTTTCCAGTTTTAAATACTTGGGAAGTTTAATAATATCAGACAGAAGAAGCTCGCAAGAAATTAAACAAAGAATCGGGCAAGCAAAAACAGCTTTTATCAAGAAAAAGAAAATTTTGGTTTCGAAAAAAATTAACAGAGCAACAAAAAAGACATTTCTAAAAACATTTATGTGGAGTGTCGCATTATACGGCTGCGGGACATGGGTTGTTAATGAAAAGGAAAAAAGATCACTTGAAGCATTTGAAATGTGGTGTTGGAGACATATGGAAAAAATAAACTGGACAGAAAGAGTAACAAATAAAGATGTACTGACCCGAGTTGAAGAAACAAGATCCATAATTAAAGCCATAAAGCGACGACGATGGGACATGATGGGACACGTTTTACGTCATGACGAAGAATTGCATCATACTATAATAGAAGGTGCAATTGAAGGACGGAAACCACAGGAAAGACCTAGAAACTCGTACATATCTCAACTGAAAAATGACGCAGGGATTGATACTTACGCCGGATTAAAAAGACTTGCCGAAGATCGTGATAAGTGGAGAGCGAAGTTAAAAATATTGTAAACCAACCCAATATAGGTTGAAAAAAAAAAACATTCATTCCAATGTAGTAGGTATATAAACATATAGGTACTAAGGTACTATGTAAAATGTTCAATTTACTACATTGGTTGGCAAATTATACCAATAACGTTTACAGTCAAGTTAGCTGAATATAGTTTTAAACAAAAATTTAACAGATAGTTCATGTTCAGATAGTAAAGCTTTAAGAGAAAGAGTTGTTTGGATCCCAGTTGATGAAAAAAAATAATTAAATCAATGTTTAAATATTGTTTGATTACTAAATAATTATTTAACTTAGGTAATTTATCATAAAATTCAACGTTTAAGTTGAATTGTTAAATAATATTTAAATACCTATAATATACTAAACCATAATATAAGTATGTTTTAATCTCAGTTTTAATGCTCTTTTTGGATTGAAAAAATTAAAAACTATAAACTATTATGTATTAACTTAAACTTCACTTAATGTACTCTATACTATATACATTTTAATTATAATATTTATTATTTAATATATTTCAAAAATCTTGCCTTAAGATATTATTATACTATTATTTATGTTGCCACTCACTACTAATATTAGAACTGTAAATAATTATTGTGTAATTCAAAAATTGTTGCTTGGAAATGAGATCAAGTTATTAATCAAGTTACCTAAGCTGATTTAAATTAATTGTATTTTTTTTTATTACACTAATTCAATTTAGAATTATAAGTCTTTGTATAGATAACATAAATTAACTACCAACAAATTTACCAACTAACAATAATTAAATTAAAAGATAATTAATTTTCATTAACTCATTCTTGTAATAAGTATTAGGTATAAACATAATAAAACTAATAATACGTAATAAACTCATAACAAAACACAAATAAAATAAACTAATAATATATAAATGGAATCTTTAACATTATACATTACATATTTAAATACAATTATAAAACAGTGGTTAACTAGGTATATGAATTTATTATACTTATGCTGTTAATACTATTAAGTTGAAAACAATAACTTTTAAGTCATTATATATGATTTATATGTATATATAGTATTTACTCATCACTCATTCTTTTCTTTTTTTTTTTTTTTTTTTTTATTAATGAGATTTTAACATATAATTATAATATCTCTACAATTATGTACATGTATCTGAAATAATAAAAATTTAAATGCGGAGGCCAGATTGCAGAATAAACTTTATCGTATGATTGATTATATTAACATTGTCGGTTGAGAGCGCTTCGATAAAGGAAAAATTAATACCAGAGGTGGAAAAGAAAATCTTTAGCTGAGATCTTTGGGTAGATAGAGATGGACAATTTATGAGAAGGTGATGTAAGTCACAAATATTCTCCACCACAGTTGGGTAAGGGACAATACGTACTACTGTTGAATCCCAATTTAAACGAGTGGTGTGGTAGAAGGCTGTAACATAATATGATAACAGTTACAACATAACGCAATTAAATTATATAGGTACTAACCTAAATATCCATTTAATTAAACATTTATGATTAAATAAAATAAAGATTAATATTAAGAATTTTGTAGTTACTGTTTATAAATATTGTAATTTTATAAAGTGATTGTAGTAATTATCATATTTAAATTGTGTATACTATAAATTGACAACCAACTGCAATAGTTATATGTCTGTTCTTGTTTACTGTTCTAGGGGTAAGTCATCATATATATTCCACGAGTTGTCCATTTCACACCAGCAGCAAGATACATAATGCCCAATAGCTTCCCTGCCTTTGGAAATTGGTGCTATGAAGCTGATAACATATCTGAGAGTAAAACTTTTATTAGAAATTGTATTTTTTTGTGGAAGAGTTGATAATGTCAATGGAAGGTCAAAGTGTTGAACATTTTGTTGACGTTCAGAAGTAGGTGCATATATTTCTATAAATATATGATTTCCAAAAGTAAAATCAATTTCTGTTTCAGATGATTCACACATTGATGTATAATTTGTAAATCTGCTGTTTAAAATGTACTGTAGAAGGTCTATTGTATACGTTGGTAAATTTGCAATTATTGATTTTCCTTCAGATATTTTTTTGAAAATCACAATTATTACATGTAATTTGCTCCTTGAAAGATGGGAATTCGTTAAATAGATTTAGTATCAAGAAATTAGCTGTACTAGCACAATCTAAATATGAGTCTTCTTTTCTTTCTACTTCTACAACTTTCAAAATTACCACTATATGTACACTGAATCAAAACTCTTGTATTTGGTTCTGGTAGATTCTGAACTATACCATTGAATGTATTACTGCACACTGAACAATGACCCATAATATTTAAAAAAATCTTTCCTGTCGTACATATTTTTGCTGTTTTATATACTATTGGACATGCTTTTTTTGTGTGGTCAAAAAAATGTTCATGAATCAATGGACTCCATTCATTTGAAGTTAATACATCATAAGCTCGAAATGAGTTTTCCCAGTCACTTCTTTTATACAAATACCTTTCTTCATTGTAAATTTTATTCCACTCATCAGAAGACAATGTAATAGTAAATTTAATTTGTTCATCTTCACAGTTCTCAGACTTTGAATCGCTTGATAGAACTGGAGTAAAATTTACTTGAACCTCATTAGTACTATTGACATTTTCATCATCTATCATCAGTTTATTTAGTATATTAAATCGGTTTCCTTTTACTTCTGTGTAAATGTATTATATGATACCAAATTATCAAGATCTGCTGCTATTTCTTTCTAACATTGATGTGGAGGTCCCAATATCGTTTTAGAGCAACTGTCAAATACATGTTTCTTATCCACAATTGCTTGAATCAGTCTATCGTTTTCAACAACTGGGTTTTTTGGCATTTTAAATGTTTATAATCCTAGAGAGTTATAAAAATATTAATATTTATAATTACAAAATCTGGTTAATAAACTAATAAAAATCTTCCAGATAACAGAAAATAATATATTGAACATAATATTATGAAGAAGTTATATATTTTAAATATTATAGAAGAAAGAAGAAAAAATATATGTTATGCAGATAATGGACTACAAAGGCATTAATTATTTAGATAAACCTAAATCTTAACAAAAAATTTATTATATCAAGTCTATGGTTGTTTTAGCTTTTAAGTATTTAAATTAAATATAAATTATAAATATGTAATTATGTAAACAATAAACATATATAAATGCATATAAATAACTAACAAAGTGCCTTCACTTGAAGTCTTCTTTAATCAATTTTTTTCAAGCCATATTATTTCACTTTTTTACTTATTATTCTATATTGTAATAGATTGTAGATTATAATATAATTAAGAATAAAAATATGTGTTTAATTTATATACCTATCAACGATGAATAAGTAATAGTATTATTCTATATTGATTATGAAATGATGAATAAATGTTTTAGTACCAACCTTCATAATATAATAAATTGTATGCGGTTATTTGTTGCCCGGTAAAATGAATAATCAAAATAAAAAGTATTTTATGAGTTGTTCAATAGATATTATCATGTATTATTTCACATTAAACTAAAATTGTTAAAAGTTAAAGTAGGTACATTGGGTATTACCTATACAGGGTGATTTTATGCTCATCTTTTTATCCTTAAATTATTTATGTATTCAAATTCTTATTTTTAATACATACATTTTTTCGTATCACTTAAATATGATATTGTTGCAATACAAACTTTTGTTTTTCAAATAGGTAGGAACCCCCCCCCTTTTTTTAAAGAATTTTGATGTACCTTTTTAAATCAAATTTGACTGAATAGTTTTTGAACTAGGTATATAACTTTGTGAACTAAGGATAATATGTCTATGGCAAATTAGTAAGTTACTGGGTAAGTATATACGGGGGCTAAAATGATTTGAAATTGTTAGTTATTAGATAAGTACTATTGATCTATCAATATAAATAATTTATAAAAATGATACAAGTATAATAAATACTTAATCTAATATAACATGTAATTTATATTTTTGTAAAACCATTAAGGATTATTATTGTTAATATACATATTTTAATAACTCAGAAACTACTAGATTTTTGATTTCGATACATACATTAACAATTTTCAAGAAAATCATCCATTAAATAATTTTCACTAAAAAGGGACGGGTGGTTCTTATTTTAAAAATATAAGTTTAGAAATTTTAAAATGTGGTCTTTGGGTATACTTATAATCAGACTTGGGTCGTATTCAGAAATCCGAATACTTTTTTTTCGGCAGTATTCGGAATACTTTTTTTCTTATATATTATGATATTGTAATCAATTTGAACGGTAATTCAAACACCAAGCCTGAGTTACCGACGCTATTTTCTTATTACAATACAAAAATAGAAAATACCAGTATTATACGAATTGAAACAGTATTGTACTAATATTTGCAAATAAAAGCCCTTCACTAATGTCATAAAAACGATAAGTTTTATAATTTCACATCCTTTTCAGTTTTCATATTCAACGATAAGTGCACTAAGTTTATTTATATTATACCTACTAGCTGTACTACTCGAATTCACCGGGGTTAAAATGTATCCAACTATCTTTCTATCCATTTCTGTTTTGCTTCAGTTGAAACATATAATACATACACAATTACAATGATTGGTTTTATGATTTTACACTTCTTAATATTCTGGACATAATTTGATGTAAACTCAACAATAAACAACTAGATACAGATTTAACGAATGTTTAAAAGTTGACGTGACACATTCATTGTCATTAAGATTAGTGTTCATCTTTATGTGTTTACATAAAAAATACGTCCAGAATTAAAAAAATAAAATTATAAAGTACCTAATTATTGTAATTATTGAGTTCATAATATAATCTTTAACCAATGGCAACCGACTTACTAAATAGTGATTCCAGGTTTAATATCGATGCAGATATATACGCTGTAAAATATGGTTTTTTGAAAACAAACTCAATCGTGGCACCTCTAGAACTGCAATCAAATATTTTTTTTTTATTAACTAGGTAATTATCGCATACCGGTAATTTAATAATAATAATAATAATAATAGTGTATTTTAATATACAATACACATTTTAGATATTTTGTATATTTATAATAGAATTACATCATATAAAAAAACCTAAACTATTTGTTAACAATAACGCACTTATTTTTTACTAAATTTGTTAATTTCAAGTAATTCCAATCGTCGAAATGAGATGTATCTGTTACTTCATAATCGATCATGGAACATGTTGGCAAACAATTACACACCATTTGGTTTTCCGGAAACTTTGTTGAATCTTTAATATTATAATAATTTAAATAATTATTTACACAAAATGGGCACCATACCAAGGCATGCATTTATTTTTAAAATAATGAATGTCTGCCTAATCATAATCTAACACAATGCACATTATAACTTACTCTTTGTACATAATATATACTCTATAGTGTATTATAATTTATGAAATAATTTATCATTACCCTAAATAATCCTACAGAAATCTTTGTAATAGTTGTTTCCTCACAAAATAGAATTAAGTTATTTTAAATTTTTAAATTTTTAAATATATTAAGTTAATAGTAAAAATCACAGGCTCTACAACATTTTATCGAGTGTCGAGGCATTTTTATTTTGTACTATACTACCTACAAGTTATAAATTATAATACCTAAGTTTAAATAGGTATGCAAAAACAGATTTTATATGCTCAAGAAAATCAGTGTATTTTAAGAACGTATTTTTTTAAATTATATAATTAGTTTGGTTTACAACGATATTTATATTTGGTTATTTCCAACACAATTAAATAATCATTTATATTTATGTTTATTAAGTTAAATTGTATTAGCTGACGGAGTTCTGTTTCATTAATACAATGTTTAAGTTTGTTAACTACTTTTGTGGACGGTCCGAGGATTACTTGTAGAATCTCTGGTACCTACCTATTTTATGTTTGACGTTTGTGTTTTAATATGGCTATATTGTCGGCATTCAAGTTAGAAGTATATGTTTGACCTAGTTTTATAATTAAATGATTAGATAATACAATAGCTAACTTTTGGTTTTTACTGTTTAACACATAGTTGTTGGATAATTGAATACAAACTTTTTATGAGTGAATTAATTATTATAATGAATTTAGTAGTCAATTTAATAAAACAAATAAGCTAACTGTGGCATTAAGTAGGTATATGAAATTATAAAAGATAATATAAATACAAATTATAAGATTCGATGATATAAAAAAAAAATTGGTAGTAATTTATGCATTATTAACTACAAGATGGTTTTTAAATTTTAGTTTTTTGAAGAGTTTTTTTTTACTGTCCACAATTCAACGCTCTTAAAAAAATTGTATGATATATATTTGATATTTTTGATTTAATTAAGATTAACTTATAAGTGGCACACATTTTTTTCAATAACTACTTTAATAAATCAATATCTGGTAGATACATTTCAACTAAGCCATACATTATTTCAAAAACTATTTAAGTTTTTTTTTTCATTATTTTAAATCATTAACTATTTTTAATCGTTATATTATACTACTTAGAAACTAATTTAATAGGTGCAAATAATTAAGAAATATTTGTAAATATTATATCCATGTTTATATAAGTAGGTATTCAAACCAGTAGTTTATTGCAATATACGTATTATATATTTATATGAAGGGGTAATTTTTTATCTTAGGGGGGGAGAATAAACGTAAAAAAAATAAAAAAAAAGTAATCTATATTATATTATATACATGTATAATTACGTATAGCGTCCAGTACGCAATTGACTTTGGCCGGACCACATATTTTTAAGCCATCTGTCCCTAAAACTGATAATAACAATTAAAAATACGGACAAAATGCAAGTGAGAATGAGTGTTGAGAGCTTATCTCAATCCTCAAATATCGACATAGGTACTTAAGGGAAAATTTATTAATACGATAAATCGATAATATTTTGAGGAAATTTCAAAAATGTTTATGCGATTACTTAAAAATAGAGATTTAGGTACTATAATAATAATAAAAAAATGTTGAAGTACTTAATAGATTTTTTTATATAAAAGAATTAAACCACAGTCATTAGAAAAAAAATATTAAATAAGAATAAATAATTTGTGGAACAGTCTATTTACATTATGATCTATATAATTTGTATGAATATTATATAAGCAAATAGTAATTTCCAATTCAATTTAAAACGTATATTTATTCCAGAAAAAACTATTGTCAACAATATTTAAGAAAATAGTTATTATTCAAACCCCATGTAGCCATGTAGGTGTATATTAAAATATTGGAATTGTTGAGATTTTTTACTACTATGGTTAATACAACAAAATATGGTTAACATTACATTATTATTTATTTTTAAATTCTAGTTTAAGAAAACGCTAATGTTATATCGACAAGAAAACGGATCGAATTTTTTTTTAAATTATTATACGTCATCTAAAAGACTTGAGCACTAGCTGTTTCTACTGGAAATAAAATGAAAGAAATACAATATAGCCCAACCGATTTTCGGTTTTTTTTTTAATGTATTTTTGCATGCTTAATAGGTGGTACTTTCAAAAAAAGTAGTTCAACATATTCTTTAGTAATTATGGTCAAAATACTTTAAAATCGTGTTTTCAAGTTTTTCTTCCTTAATATTTTAGTGGAATCAGAAATGACATCGTACTTACATTATATTAAGTTCTTGCGAACAAATGGTGTCCCCCAAATGGTGGGAATACGCAAAGTCTGGAACAAAAGGTCATCACTTTTAAACTAAGCCCGACCGACAAATTCTGATTGCACCATTGTTCAAAACTCGTTAATATAAATGGGTTTCCGAAAACAATATCCTAAAATCACTTGGGAGCTAAAGTGTATTTATTCCCAAAAAAATAGTTAATATTTAGTAAATAGTTAACTGACAAAACAAAACTGTCTTTAGAATAAACCGTAGAGTTCCTAACCATTATTTATTGTTCAATAATTCGCTTATAATTTCTATTAAGTAGGTACCGATTATTACGTATGCGTATAAATTAAAATAAAACAATTATTACAAGCTCCCTCGATCATTATACAGCCACACATGGATATAGTTTTGTTTATTTCACATTCATGGTTACAATTCAACTCAGTGTATTGTTGAAAAATTGATAGCTGTCTTTCGTTGTGAAAATAACATTGTCTGATTTCCAGTGAACGCCACTTTAAATCCGAATTAATTTTTTTCACGAACGGAGTGATTTGTATTTTGGTGTAGGTATCTGGTGTAATAAATTTTCTAGGAGTGACTGAATAATAGTCAGCCGGATTATAAAACGAAATCTAAATAAAATCAACGGAATTAACAATAGTGTTTTAGTCATTGTAACATAATATTACAGGTAGAATGGTAAATATTTTGGGTAATAATAAATTTTTTGTATCGTTGCTATCTACAATAATGATTTTCCAGCAAACGGAGTTTTGTTGTTTAACTATATAATAATAGTTAAGTAAATTATAAAATTACCTATAATTAGAATGAGTAATTAAAACTTTTTGTGTTTCGCGTTTTATGTACTGTTTAAGATTGTGCCAAGAGCAGTTGAAAATATCTATAGATTAAAACGATAATACTTTACACTTGAGAAATAATAGTTTATAATAGATGCATTGAAAATCTTGAAAAACTGCAATAAAATTGGATAAAATTACAAAAAAAAAAACAATAAATTTGACTTAAAAAAATGTTTTTTTGTGTTGTTTTCGGAATGAATCTTTATACAATTATAGGAGGAAATTCTAATCTGAACAACATATCCATAAATATTTTACAGTTGATTCCGATTAATGAAGCACTTATTGTTTTTATAGTGATTTGCATGTAGTTTTATTGCCCTTCAGAAATGTGAATAATATAAATATATATTAATATAATATAAAATAATAATATAAATATATTATTAGTTATTAGCTATTACTATTTTACTGGTCTGTGTTTAAAATACGTCCCTATAGGTACAATGGTACAATATAATTCAATATAATTTTTGTTTTGCTTTACACACAAACCAGCACACTTTACTCCTAACATTTTTAGATACCGTGTTACGTACCAAAAATCTACCATCATCAACACCCACTCCTAGGTTAGCACAACTCAAGTAATCGTCGTCCAATGTGTGTAGCATCAATCTTAAACGATGATAATAACTAACGCCACTTGTTCGAGCTGGAGTCACGTCGACAATAATTTGTTGATTCAAATAAAATGAGTAGCCATCCTCTAAATTCCAATTTGCTTTTTCGGTATCGACGTAAGTAATATTTTTTGAAAAAAAATTCGAATATCTGAAATTTCAAAATGTTAAAAATTTAATTATATCTAATATTTACCTTTGTAAGGACTAAGGACACATTTTAAACAAGAATAATATTTGATGATTTTAAATAATTAGACATGGTAAAAACTAGCAGGCAATACCTGTGATTTAATATATTAAATAGCTACGTAACCCATTAACCATAATAATATAAACTATTAATATGTAACAAATTGGCAATTTATTATAGTTGATATTTTTATTTTTGTTGAAAACAATAATATAATTATATAATAAGATTATATACGTACCAAGTAGTTTAACATACCATATTACTTTTCTATAACTTATAGAAAAGTTATTTACTTATATGCTGTACTAATTTACGTAACTTATAAAAATTTAAAATAGAGGCTGACATATTATTATATCGTGTCCATTCAGAATCGTTTTTTGTATGCTATGATTAAGATTTACCATTGAATTTACATGTAACATACATCAGTTACAATAATTTGCTCAATAACGATTAGTATTTAATATTTATTATACAGCAGTGCGAATTTCTTAAAATTTAGAACTTTTTTGAAATATGTATTGACTAACTTTACCTCTGATAATGTTCATCATTAAAAATTTGATATAACGACATCATGTTAATTGTATAACATACTCCAAATATGCCTAATATTGGTTGAATATATTGGCAAACATTATCCAACGTTGTATTCTGCCATTTACCATCAGACTGAAATACTTCTGAACAACTAATACCACAATCCTATTATTAAAATTAAAAACTAATAAAACTATACCTAAATGTTGCATTCTAAGTATTGAGAGAAAAGTATATATGTGTACTTGGATAAATAAAGATTACTACCAAATACCAATCATAGATAAAATAAATCACCCAGTAATGATTATTTTTGACAATTTTGTCTTACAAAATCACTAAATACTAAACTCACATGCAAAAGTGTCTTTATCAGATTTTTGTCAATATATTCTTTTAAACTTTGGTCCAATTCACGAGAATACGTATTAGTAGAGCATGTCATATCCCTATATATTATAAGATTATCCCTGAAAAAAATGTAGCTCATAATATTATTAAAGGTCATGTTGTTTTTATATTTATACTATTCTATATTTTTCTTATCTATATACTCTATTGTATAGAATCAAAGTCATATTATGTGCGGTACAGTCATGAAGTCAACAATTGTGTATTGAAAACTCATATTTAAATTTTGGTTGTCCATGGGCCACCATATTCATTTAATTATTACAAATAAAATTACAAACGTGGTGATCCCTTTAGATTAGGAATATTTTTAACTTATAAATGAATATAATCAGATACAATTTTATTTTATTTTAATACAATATAAATTACGATAATCATATTATTTTAAATTGATAAATCATTTTTATATGATGGGCGTTCAATAGTACACAATGATTGTATAAGGAAAAAATGAAATATTAAACAGCTTGATAAATGGTAAAAGTTTGTAAGTATAATCTTTACAAACTAAATGTACGACGGCAAATTAGCCCCTTTTGTATAGTTAAGGACCGCAAAAGCAGGACGGAGTAAGACAAAATAAGGCGGAAGTGTCTATCCGCATGGTCACAGGTTTAAACCTAGTTATAAGTGGTTTTATCTTAAGGCAAACGAATGTGAAAATGGCATGTAAAAGTGAGACCTTGATCCTCTCACAGTCCCGCCCATACAGAAGGCAATAGGAAACCACCTCTTATTATAAATATTCCTTATAGTACATAATAAGTGGAAACTGGTACAACGATTAGGTGGGACAAACCAACCTACAAAGGTAGTGAACAGAAAAAAAAAACATTCAAGTAAAAATGTTATATTTAGTTTTGGTTTATAGACAAATCAAAATAAATAAATACATAAATATCAATTTTAATTTTAATCCTCAACGTGGGATAAAGTGGACTGCGATGACTTTAGTCGTTTGAATATTGGTATTGATTTATTCATTTTGATATCAATCCACCTTGGTAAGCTTTCTTATACCGTAACAGTAAACAAAATCAAAATTAAAAAAAATGTAAGGAAATATTGTATTGACGACAGTGGCGTATACAAGGAGAGTATGTGTGGGTCAGATCCCCTTCCAATGGCTTTTTTTTCCAAACCAGAATTGTTAATTTAATTATTATTTATTTTATTTATACATTTAATGATGTAGCATTTTATAATACCGAAGTTTTAACTTTATAGAGTGGACAATCTTCCATACTGTGTTTGATGTGAATTTTGAATCAATTTAAATTATATCCATAGTTCCGTATTGTTAAATATTTTACTACCTAAATAAAAAGTTTTAAGAGGGTGGAGGATTTTCCTATTTTCCCCTCCCATTTGGCTATAATATGTCGTTTACTTTTTTTGACCCCCTCCCCTTCAGAAATCATATCTACGCCACTGATTGACTAGAGAACTATGATCAATCAATAATCTCCCAATCCCTGAGAATTTCACATTCTATTCAAATACCATAATTCATTATAATATATCGAAAGAATGCATAATAATCAATTTCTGTTATGAATAATGTATAGAATTATTTTATTTTATGCATTCTACAGACTTGAACTGTATTAAATTTACGCAAATCAGAAATAATAATGTATATTTTATATAGAACTTACCAATAAGAGCTGTTCGTGTCCATATATTTATCCCAGACGGATTTTCGAATTTGACTCGATGGACAAATCATGATCGAAGGAAATGGTATTTCTCGAATTGGCGATTCTGTATTTTCAATGAACATTGATTATTAATCCAAATGTTTACCATAACATTTAAGCCTACAAACGTTATTGATACCATAAGGACAAATATAAGAATCCAAAACGATCTAAAACATATTTAAGCATTATCAATGGTTTAAAACTGACCTGAACTGTTCACGCAACTCAAGTTCACATTATTTTATAAAAGGAACACGTTCATGTGGTCAGTTATAAATATGTAGTTAAAATTAACTACAAATATGAGACAAATAATTTTTATTTTTAATACTTTCGGAATAGAAATCAGACACATAAAAAAACCTAAATAAGTGTTGTAAATAATTCAAACGGTACTTGAAACAAAAATGGTTAACAGGGCCATTTTTTGAAGTTTTGGTTTAACACTAAATGGTATTTTCACAACACCGCTCATAATTTAAAAACTAGCATGCATATTATGTGATATAAATATAATATGTTATTGTCTAAGTCAGCAACTAAGTACACAAAGTAAATTGGCCGTAAATGGTGGTTGAAAATAATTTTCCATTACAAGCGATCATGACGTGATACCGCAGTTGGTGCGTGGTTTTTTCATCTGTTCTTGCCACTACGCTGTTTCTCGATGAATTATCTTTACCTGTCATCTTATAATAAATTAATAGATTAATTTATAACTACTACGGAAATTTACTTCATGTGGGTGCCATATCAGGTATTATATTTACATATTTAAACACTGTAATTACACAACAATTTTTGAAACATGATAAAAAAGTATTAATCGAAATTATTTTATTTTCAGTATGTACATTCAATAGGTATATAAAAATTAAAAATTAATCTATTTTAAACTCCTTTAAAAGAGGTCCTCGAGAGAATATAAATTTTTCTCACGTTCACACTCTATTTATAAGAAACGAGTAACGTTCTAGTGTCATAGTTCACTAAATATGAACAGGTACGCAATAGAACGCGTTCTCTTCAAACAATGAGCGTTGTTGAGATTTGTACAAATGAAACAGTGGTAATTTTTTATGTATATCTAATACATAAGATGATTATTTTAATGAGGTAACGATACCATAAACTATAAACATACTAGTATGTACTTACACAGTTAATTTCCCAAACACATTGTCAATCAATCAATTTCATGATGAATGCTTAAAATGTATTAGTAATTACTAATTACAAAGATATAAACTGATTTATACATTGCCCAAGTACATTGTAAGTCCATAAATAATATATGAATGGACAGGTCACCAAAATGTATAACGCGAGAATGAGAACTTAGATATTTTGAAATGTCTTGGAGTCTTGTCAATTATATAAGTATATAACAAATACAATTAATGACAAAACCTCTAGCTGGAGTGAAAGCACTATATAAAAGCAGTCGATATCTCATCCACAATCCGGACCCTACATTTGTTTAAAATAGGAATGGCCTCTCCATTCTTATAATATTATTTTTGAGTAAATGTCACATTGGTTTGTTAGGAGGCGATGTAATCGATTACTTCATGATTAGATTTCACCCTAGATTATTATAATATTAAATGTTCTAAAGTATTACACGACGTTCTATATAGGCAAAACCGGTAACTAAATATTATTTTATATTTTTAATTAAATCAAAGGGTCAGATAGATGAATGTATTGGTTTTACAATGATGTCATATTTAGGAGCATTAAAAAAACTTCAAATGTATAGTTTCTGACAGCAAATAATTGGACCGTTACCTGTATTACGTAACACCAGTTTTCACCAGTTTTCTCCAAAATGCTGATAAAAAGTAAATACCTAATTGTATTTTTAGTTTTTATGAACATTTTTATCTACCTGTAATTTCTAGACATTATATAATTTTAAATATATATTGGCTCTTTTTGAAACTTTTATGGACATTTGACAATTTAAAACTTGTTTAGTTTTATAAACTTAACTTGTTCTTAAAATATCAAAAATACATAGGTATAGTCAATCAAATTTGAAGTGATTTAAGTTCCAATTTGTACGAAATTCATCAAAATCACGAACATGTGTAAATTATTTTATAGTAAATAATACATATTTTTTTTAGTATTAATAATTTTTCTAAGGATTTAAAATTGAATACTATATACTTATTCAACCTGTTCCTTTTAATAGAATCAAAAAAAAATATTGCGTAAGGCCACAAAATAAATTACTATTATAGTAATAATATAAGGAAATAATAAAATATCGTTAGAAGTAGTCAGTAGATGCTTATGCAATATCTCCTCTTAGAATAGTTTTTATTTTGAATTTAATTCAAATTTAACATATCTAGTACCATGGCCTTACTAATGGACAATGGTACTCTAGGAACTACACCCAAAACCTATTTAATTGTAGAGCTATTTCAAGGGGTTTTTTTTTTTTAGTATTATTTGTTTTTGAAAAATTCTTAGTCTTCTTACTCATTATCTTCTTCATCAAATTCTAGCAAATAATATGAAAAACCGTTTTATTATCATTTTATCTCATTTATATCCTTAAAATATGATAGTATCTACAATTTTAAATGTATTAAGCCATACTAGGTATATATTTTCAACTTATTATTAATTTATATATTTTTGAAATAACATCGGCTATAAAGGTCTTTTAAAATAGTGGTATGGTTTTAATTTATTTGTGTACAATACATTTCAAATTGTTTATGAACAAATAAATCAAATTATTTCTAAACATGGGTAGGTACAATTAATATAACTATGGATTATTTGTTATTTTGTTAATAGTTATTACTTGTTAGATATTAGGTAGTAGGTATCATTGGTACCAATATCACAATTGAAAATAATATAAGTACTCGCTAAGCGAACAGTAAAATTACTCAACTAACTTTTCTAAGAGTGATCTATGCTTCATTGATAAATACTGCATACAGGGTGATGTGGTTTTTTCACAATACTCAAGAAACCAATTGTATTTATTCATCTTCATGAGTTTTATAATCAAACTGGTCTATTTAATGTACCTGTATTTACCTATTAAACATACACATTGAATAAAGTACTTATAAAACACTACTAGGTATATTCATTAAAATTTAATTTTAGCTAACTATTTTTCTAGGTCAAAAATACACGGCAGGTACTAGGTAAAGTAGTTATTAATTTATGAGGAGGGAGAATATTATTACTTTATTCCTGTTATTTTTTTTATCGTGTTTTAATTTCAATAAAAATTATTTAAGTGTCCTCGAGAGAATTTTCATGTTATTGGTTTTATGTAAAAAAAAAAAAAAAATTTATATTTATTAAATTAGTTGACTGAAATTGATGGGTAGTGCTCTGTTGTTTTAGTATCTATTAGTAATGTAGGCATGTAGCAGTTGTTAGAAAAATCGATTAAAATTATGACTGGTCGAATAATTAAAAGTTGAGAAATTTTAAATATTGTTCACCAATAATTAGTAAATTGATTATAATTTAGTATTATTTAGTAAATAAGCAAAACAAAATTTACGAATATTTAATGAAAAATCTGGACAGGATGCAGTGATTGGTTTTGGTCTATACTGTATTTAATTATTATTAAGATGGAAAAGCTTCCAAAATAAACAGTTATTTGAAGTCGTTTGAACAATATTTGAATAATAAAATAAGCAAGATGCAAAACAATATTAAATACAATTTTAATATATTTATATTATTTTATATTGTTTTAAATTAAATTATGCATATAGGTCAGCTCTAGTCCTAACACGATTTCGTTTGATTTTCTAAATATCAGTTTTCAATACTTTCTAGTTACAAGTAGTCAGAGTGATCAATAAGTATAAATATTTATAATTGGGTAAACGGGATCATGCAATAAAAAAATCTTGTTTTATTATCTTAAATAGAAATAATAATAGTGGAAATCTATGTTACAATATCAGAAAGTGCATTGTTATTTCATTTACTCAGTAAGTATTCTTAATTGTTCCTATTTATTTTATTGCATTCATTGCTATGTTGTTTTGGTAAAAAATTGTTTATTTTCCGTCTATTTGAGTGATTTTTTTATTTAATACATCACATTTGACTCTAAATCAACTTTAATTTCTTAAAAAAATTATGAAATAAGTTATTGGTGAACTGAGAGAACAGACGAAGAGCCTTCGTCCTTATATAAAGATATATATTAATACTATAAATAGCTCAAAAAGTATCAAAATATTTTTTTAATGTTTTCAAGTACATGTATAAAAAATTACAAAATAAACATTCGATGAATATTTTAAGTATATACTATTATTCGGTTTAAAATTACAACAATATAATAAAATCGTTCGATGAGAAATCGTTAATTTATGGGTTAAAACATGTCGTAAAAAAATTAAATTCGAACACTGTTAAAACATTAATGTGACTTTTGGGAAATTGTTTTGTTTTTTACAAAATAGAAAAAATATGATTAGTAAAAACAAATAAATTGTATATTTAATAATATACACATTTTAGATTCTAAGCGGAGCGATGAATGTATTGATTTTACAGTAATATGTTTTGTTTTTTGAGTGTACGATACGTAGTGTTATAATAGTAGTCGAAATAAATAATAATTATAAATAAATAATTAATACATTTTATTATTTTACAATTACTATTATATTTTTTTAAGAGGAATCGAGGACTTTGAAAACAATGATCGTATCCTTAGTGATGGACACAGCTAAATAAAATAATGATTATTAATTATTTTTATTGTTGTTATTATAATTTTTTGATTTTTAACTTCAGTATCATTTCTCAAAGTGAAACTAGTTAGAAAGTTAGACAAGCTAAAATGGAAAATTCCGAAGAGTCCCCAAAATGATTCCCAAAATCAAAGCTAAAAGCTAAATTGAATCAAAGAAAAATGGTAGTTTTTACTCAAATCCAGTTTTCGACCAAATTGATTTAGTTTTTTTGGTGAAATTAAAAAAACTAATCAATGTAAATATTTAAATTTTTCACCAGATGTTTAAATTACCATTTTCTTTACATCATTAAATTTTCAAAATATTTGTACTATTTGTTGAGCTAATTATAGAAATAATAAAAATTGCAATTTTTTTTATTAGCATCTAAAGTTCGAATATTGACAAAATAAGTAAAAATCCCGAAAATGTGCAAATCATTTTGAGTTAGAAATTCATAAAAAATTTTTTTTTAAATCTAAGATATTTAAATGTAATTCAAGATTCCTTAAAAGTTTTTCTACCTTAATCAAAAAAAAAAATGTCTACTTGAAAGTCAAATTACATTTTTATGAACGTATTAAGTTCGAATTTTTACAAGGTTGGATATTCCATTTCACATAGGTACAGTTATTTTCTTATTTTGCTTTAATTCAAAAACGAATTATTGTAGATCCTTGAAATTTACACCATATGTTTATTTTATCAATTCCTGTGCTTCGTAAAATTTCAAAATATTTTGACTCATTTTGAACTGTTTACGGATACTTTCAATTCTTTTAGTTTTTTTTTCTATAAATGTCAATACAATTTTATTTGTTTTGTAAAAAAGGCTCCTGATATATTTTTACAATAGCACTAATTCAAATTATTAAAAATATATAGGCACATATTTTTTTTATAAGCATTTTAAGTTCAAATTTTGACAAAATGTATCTAATTTTGAATTTTAAAATTATTTTGTAGTTAAAATCGTATAAAATGTTCAACTTTTATATCCAACGATTGACAATAAATTTAAAATAAGATTCCACGTAAATAAGAAAATAAATTACTTTATTCACAATAATATCATCAAATATACTTAGTTATATGTCATAGGGTGACTGACCTACCTAATGGATATTGTGATATGGTTAATTTGGAATTTATTATTGTTACCTATTATAGGTCAATTTTTTTTAATACCATAGATAAGCATATATTATGTCTTATACCTAGACTGACATACCGTCTCCGCTCAGAATCGTTTTTCGTATACAACGATATTATTTCATTGAATTCAAATTTAACACCATCCATTACAGTGACTCACTGGCTGTAATACGATTGAGAACGTTCGACCTTTTTTAGCGTACGATTGAGATCACTCGAAATGGAACAATGAAATAACCGCTGACCCAATAATACAGTACTATTGAGAACGAAATTAAGTGCAACGTTGCCGAACTTTATTCGAGTCAAAATAAAAATGAAATAAAACATTGAATAAAATAATTAAAAATTATAAATTTTAAAAATGTCATAATTTTTAAAAAAATCTGTATTATTGGTACCTACCAATAATACAAACATTTAAAAATAATTTATGTATATTAATATATATAAATTTCCCAGATGTGTTAAATATTTTATTAATCCTTCAGAAGATTTTTTTTGGCAGTAGTTAATATAAGACTGTATTGTTTTTGAAATTTTTTCTTCATCTGCTTTTGATGCCTTTTGAACAGTACCCTGTTGAATAATATTGAGTTTTAAAGACGTTTATTCCTGCCACATAGACAGTGTGTGAGCAGTGCTAAGAGTCATATATATTTATATAGGCTATAGCCATAGTAGATTTTTATATGGCAAAGTTTGGCAACGTTGCGCGGAAAAATAAAAACTGAGCGTTCTCAATCGTAATAGTCAAAAGGGTCTAAAAAAGGTATCGCCAATAATGACCGTTCTCAATCGTATTCCTGCCGACTCACTTGTATACTCAGCTGAACGGTATCCACTCATGGCTATTTTGTTTTGTATTTACTGAATAACACCTAAAATATATAGTTGTTGAACCTCATTTTAAAATATACTATTCTTTAACTTATTCAAGGGTGTTATTATTATTCATTTAAAGTATCTATAAACACGTTAATTAATATTGATATTTACTTAATATTGCTTATCTGTGGTTAATTTTATTTAAAAATACATAAAATCGTATTTAGTATATTTTATTACACTTCATAATAAACCAGTCATAATAATTAGTATTTATGGATAACCTTAGGTTAGGTTATCTAACAAATAATTGTAGTTTTTAATTACCGGCTGATTATTAATTTATTGAAATAATAATTAAAATATATTTATATATTATTTATTAGAATGAGATTTCCTTCAAAATAAACCTTTCAAATCTTTAAGCACGCATATTAAAATATTTTTTTTCATTAAGATCTGCATTGTCAGATATAGCCAAGTAGTATTTAATGAATCCTGTTTACATGGATTATCATTATTGACAATCGATATTACTTGAAAGATTGTAAAATAGTTCAGGTTTAGTTCCAGCGTTGAAGTCACCACTTATGCTAGTGGAATAAGTATACTTTGTATATAGGTACACCTATATACAAAACTGGAATGTTTGGAGAAAAAGTCATGCACTTCATTATTATTTTTAAAAGCTATTTAATTTAGTTTGATTGTCTTAGGCCTTCGGGATTGATTTACTATAGAATACTAGATCCTTAATTTCATAAAAAAATTCCCAAAAGTTTTATGGTTTAGATCAGAAGGTAGTCTTAGTAGTTTTGATAAATTTCCTAATGCATTTTCTCGAAGTGTATATTTTGTACTTTGCTTGGAGAAAAAAAAAACTACAATAATCTTCTAGATATGTAGTAAATCACTAAAAGTAGAGTGAGTTATACTTTTTTCAAATACTAACTCAATAAATTAAATAACTTGTGAGCCAAGCTGGAAAGTTTGACCCTTAGATTACTGATTAATATATGGTGCATAACTCAAGATAGATAATCCTATCCTCCTTAACATCAGCCACTAGACGACTCAAACTTCTGAAGTAATACGACTCAATGGGATAAGCTATTAATTTGAAAACTATGAGTAATTTATGTATCTTTATTTTGATTATTTTATCAACATATACAAAAATTGTGAACCATTTTGATAAAGACCAATACAGTCATAATAATAAAAAAAAACTTTTTTAAAGAGCCATACAAGTCACAGTTATCAAGTAATGAGCAGTGGTTTCACTCCTTGATATTATATTACAATTACTAATAAGGTAATAAGAATATTTGAAAACATATTGTACTCTAAAAAAAAAAAAAAAGTGTTTGAGCGGCCATATACGTCTTTTAAACAACAAATAATTTTAGAATTATATATAGATTTAAATATAGAAATGGAATAGAAATAATAAAATTGACATGAAATATCATATTTCATATTGATATTAATATTACACCGTCATAAAGATCAATAAAAACAAAATAAAATAATTTTTTTAAGATGTGTTTGTCATTGACTCGGGAGAAATAAGTTACCATTATTTATTATACTGGATTTCCATCGACAAAGCTATGTACTAGTCAATAGCACAAATAGAACATTTTTTATCGATCCATATATGCATACATATTTTTCAATGATATGTACTTCTTTGCTTGAACGCCGAACGGTAAACTGAGTAAAATAATGGCTTATTTATGAAATATATGATTTAAATAACTTAATAATTGCAAAGTATTAAAATTCTTCATATGTTATACACTTATAATGTTAGAGAAATAGTAGGTATTGAAATATTTTTTTCAAATATACAGTTATATATGAGTAAATATAGGTACTGGCTATTTAAAAATATTTAAGCAAGTACACCAGAATTTTTTCTTAATTTGCAGTGCAACAAAATTGATCGTATTTTTGAAATTTCATAACATATAAGTATATCATAATATCATATTATACATATATTTATAATAACAAATTAACTATAAACAAAATATTAATTATAAATAATAACTACATTTTTATTTATAATTATTGAAATAAATGTATACATTTAGTTTGCTGTTCTGACAGATATATAAATATACACACCAAATAACAACACCATATTGAATACTAAAATCGCAAATCTAAGAAATTACTGATGTTCAAAGTGTTCAAACTTCCTACTTAGCTATACTAAAACTAAAATTCTAGCTATTTAGGTATTTCGGAAATACAAAATATTGTTAATTGTTTGTAGAGCTTTGCAACATTTAACAAAAATCAATCATTCATATACTTTTAATACAAAGTAAAATGTTTTCATGATTTAAATAATTTATTGTTACACGATAAAAAAAAATACATATAACATAAAACAAAACTAACCAATAAATAATGTGTCAGTCCATAATATATAGAATAATTTGTTGTACCTACCTTATTAACGTTCAAAATTCGGTGGTTTTGGAATTTGTATTTCTGATTAGTGTTTAAATGTATTTTATATAAATAGAGTTATTGTGATTACAAAATATTATTAATATAGGAGATCAATTTTGTTTAAATAGTGTAAAACTCTCTTATGCTAGTACATAATACTTAAAAAAATAATAAATAATGAAAGAAATAAAAAAATAATAAATAGTTTTAATACTTGTACATAATATAATATTTAAATTAAATAGAGCATAAAAAATAATAATATACAAAATACATATAGTCATATAGATGTTATAATCTCGTAAGCTGAACAATAATCAATAATTAATTTGCCATGCCAAATATCATAACGATATATTAACAACAACCAACAATAATTACCTATAGTTTAATTGCTTAAAAAAAATTAAAATAAATATTTTACCAAGTTGTGTAATTAATTTATAAATATAATTATTGTAATACATCATATTGACATGAATACAAAGTCGTTTTTAATAAATGTTTTTATGAGTTCACTGGTTACTCACTGATTATTCATATTTTATCAAACATGTGTACAATGTAATTACTGACCATTTTAATCATGATGTATAATATTTCAAACAAGTTGATTAAATTTAATCCCAAAAATAAACTTATCAATCCACCAACATTACCTGTAATAAAATAAAGTAAATTAATAACATCAATACCAACTTAACATTTTTGTCGTGGTGGGAAGTGTATTAATCATCGATAGTCGAGTTACAAGAGAACTAGACAACACAATACATGAATGCATAATACAACCAACCAACAAGAACATTCATAACATAGGAGCATGATATAATGGTATCATTGTATCAATAGTTAATTTTGTTGTCAATAGTTTATTTTGTTGTCAATCAATTATAATAATTTTAGATGTTGGACTGGGTGAAAATGGGAATATTACACACCAGTTTTCGATAAAATCAATTATTTTTTTTTTTTTTTGTATAACTGACAAAAAAATAACATCAAAAAATTTTGCACCAAATATTTGTGGTTAACATTTTCTATAGTTGTGATATTATGATATTCAAAATGTTTTGGTTCGTTTTGATAAATTTGTTTTTTCAACTTAAGTGAATAAAATTCTTGATCATCGATAAAATAGGTTTACAATTTATTAATTACAGGTTTCCTCAAAAGTTGTTATCAACTATTAAAGCAATTTAAAAATATTGAAAATTGATGGGAACAATTTTTACCATACAATTTTAAAGAATTAATTAAAATCCCTCAATAGTATATCTATAATCTATAATTCTTTAATTCTTTAATCTATGATACACAATATATTATAATAATATAAAGAAATAAAATTTATTTGTAGCACGGGTAACAAATCACAAATGTAACTACTGAACTGTTTTTAAAAATTCTTTCACTAGCCATCGTATTAATGTAAATACCTATATATAATTTTAAATAGTACATCATGTGGCGAAGCGGTGACTAACGGCTATTGATAAAATGATAAAATATAAATAGGTATTTATAGAAATAAGATTCATAGGTGTTTTTAACTGCTTATCAACATAACCTAACATTTTAATGCTTTGGTGTTTTCCGGGAAGCATGATAGACATAAATGATGATCTTAAGGTATGGAAACAGACGAGCAACGTCCAAATTTAAAAGAAACCTAGAGCAATGACAAACATTGACGAGTCAACTAGTATTTAATATTTATAATATAACATAAATAACCTTTTGAAATATATACCGAACCAAAAACCTTAAAATTGTTTTTTTAATGATTTACCATTCAATTAAAATTTAACACGTCCACGATCAATTTCAGCAACCGAATCAATGACGAGGTATACTCGATTTCTACTATACAGCAGAGTTAGTACTTTGTTTTTTTTTTTTTTTTTAATAACTTACTTATTAGAGAGTTCAATTCTACAATTGATGTGGATATATATGCTGTGAAATAGGGTTTGTGGAAAACGAACTCAATCGTGGCGCCTCTAGAACTAAAAACAATTGTTCGTTGTATATTAAATATTATGAGGTAAATTTATAATAATGTAGGTAAATGTTTATATATTTATATGTGAATCATAAGCGATGGCCCGTGACGTACTTATTCTTTACAATATTTGTTGATTTCATATAAGTCCAATCATCATAATGAGACGTATATGTTATTTCATATTCGACCACAGAACATGTTGGCAAACATTTGCATATCATTTGCATTTCCGGCAGGTAGGATGCTTCTGTATAAAAATAACATCATCATATTTTTATTTTTATTTCTCAGACCATTTACTAATATAACAGTTATTTAGTTTTAAGAAATCACCTGTCTCAAACGATTTGGTAATACTATTTCAATATACTTATGTCGTATGTTATTATTTAACATTTTATAAGAGGAAGCTACATTTTAAGCTGGTTATTATATAATTTATATGCATTTACAATTTTAATTGTTATAATTTTGTTCTTATAGATACTGAAATGAATAGTTTAGATCAAACATGATATTTGCTTACTTTTTTTTACGTAATCATGTTTTATATTTATGAATGACAGCATATATTATTTTGAATTTAATATTCTAAATGAGTAGTTTATACTTTATATTATGTTATAAGTATAGGTTACATTTTAGATGAGTTGCACAGTGAGGCACGTTGCCAAATGTTGGTCCACATCTCCACTTATCCAAACTTTTAATTATTATGCTTATTATATATTAACTACTAGTTAACAAAGTAGTCTACAAAAATATCCTAGGAAAACGTAATGTGATACTTAATATTTTCTCCACTGCATGAAAAAAAATTGAATCTATATATAATATATACAGTGACTATAATATATTCGGTCACTCTAAGCTGCCGGGGAAAAAAAATTCTACTTACTAAATATTTCGAGCTATCAATGTGTTATTTTTATTTGAAGGTGAATTTTATTTGTTCGAGTTATCGAGTTATCGAGGTTTGAGGAGTTACCGAGAGTACATTGTACCTAGATATAGGTATATATATACAATCGACCGGGTTCTGACTGACTGCTAGTAGAAGCTAAACTATGATAGCTATAGTGCTAATATATTAGAATGTGTAATAAATTGGAATGATAATTTACAATATTTATTAGTCGAATAACTGTAACTGAATTCATAATTATAAGTAGGTATAACTGTTGTTACCTTTAGATTTAAATCCATACTTACGTTGAGCTTTTACCATACAGCCTTTTTTTGCCAGACCACAAATTTTTACACTGGTTGCCACTAAATCTGATCAAATACAAAATTGTTAATTATGTATATAAGACGTATGTTTTATATTATATTGTAAACTAAAAGAAACATATTATATTATATATTAAGATACTTACAAGCCATTTCGAAGGAAACACAGCCACATATGGTCAAAGTTTCGTTTAATACACATTCGTAATTACAATTCATCTGTGTATACTGTTGAAAAATTGATAATTTTCTCTCGTTGTGTAAATAGCATTTCCTGGCTTCTGGAGAATGCCGCTTTAGTTGCGAATCAATTTTTTTTACGAATGGAGTGATTTGTATTTTAGTGTAAGTATCCGGTCTGATAAATGATCGAGGATCAACCATCAAATATTCAGCTGGGTTAGATAATGTAATCTAAATAAAACCAATAGGATGTTTTTGAACTTTGTAAACTTTTTTAAAGATAGAAAAATATATGACAAATACTTAATAATAATTATAAAAAAAAATCGAATGTTTCTCATGGCTATAAATAGTTAAAAAAAAAAAACATTTAAAATACTTTGAATATTTTAGAATGTATGAAAAATTGTCATATAAAATAAACCTTAAGACTTAAGTGAATATTTAAATTATCTACGGTTATTATTTTTTAGTTAAACCAAAATATCGTAATCGGTTTTGTTGAAAACTGCATATGATTTTGAGCAAAAATTCTGTGTTTTCCTCGACTCTTTTCAAAGTACCAACAAGTTTTGTTGAACATGATTCGCTTACCTACTGACTACCAGAAAATATGAAATAGAAAATCGAAGCATTTTTACTGCTCCAAAAGGTGATGATGGATAGAAAAATTACACATATTAATTTTATATTATATCATTGTAAAATCAATACATACAATGCTCCACTCAGATCCTATATCATACTTATTAAATTTTAGAACGTTGCGTCTATAGTATCACCATAATCTCCACTATAGTTTTCAAAAATTAAAACCGGCTTCGTTTATTTTTACAATGTAAACTTTACACTGAGTGTACAGTAAGTTATGCACACAATAGTTTTATTTTTTACTCACAAAAAAAAAACTTCCAGATGTACAACTCAAAAATTCGTGGTCCAATGTATTAATCATCAATCTCAAACCATGGTAGTGACTAACACCACTTGTTCTAGCAGGATTTATGTTGACAAGTAAATCGTTCTCTAAATTTGGTGGGTATCCGTCATCTAAATTCCAGTTTGATCTCTCAGTACCAATATATGAATTGTTTTTTAAAAAGAAATTTAAATATCTGGAATAACAAAATATTGAATTATAATAATGATCATAAAGAAAATTCTATTTAGCACTTGAAAATCTCGTATCATGAAGTGTGTTTTTTGTTATATTTTGCTTAACATACCTAATATAGTATATAAAAAAATAAATTATTAAATACTAGCTGATCCCGTGTACTTCGTTACCATATACCAAATCTATATAACTCAAAATTTGTTCAATTCGTTTAATATGCAGTGCATGGTGTTCAAAATGTATCTTAACTTTTCCGTTGCCCGGAATAATAATAATAATTCTGATTCACAGCAGTATATTATCAGGTAGGAAATCTACCTGTGGTAGATCGTGGACCCCGTGATGTTTGTACTTAAGTGTATGATTTAACTCTAAAGTTTCAAAGTTATATTGAGTTTATTGTATTCCACCTATGGTGGATTAGTATAATCAGTTAATACAAAATCCTAAACGTACTAATATCAGATGAATAAAAAAAATCCAAATTTAACCATTTTTAAATTAGCTTGTTTTCTGCCCAGATTTCTAATCTACACAAAAACATTAATTAATTTATATATATATATATTGACAAAAAACAAAATACAAATCAAAAAACATGACCGATTAACCAATGACAACCAATATAAATTATAATACACTTTTGCGTCACTATTGTATTTTTTTCATCCAGATTTCCTACTTTTCCAGTAGATTTTCCCAAAATTTTCTTTTGTATAAATTTTCTTCTGGCAATTACGAACATCTTCAAAAAAAAAATTGAGCCAAATCGGACCAGCCGTTCTCGAGTAAAAAATAAATATAAAACAATAACAATAATACAAATCAAAAAACATGCCCAATTAACCAATAGCAATTAATATACAATACACTATTATTATTTTAATCTGAAATAAATTTTTTTATTATTTAATTAATTTTTTTATGAACAAATGGCGCCACTATTGTATTTTTTGACATTCAAATTTTCTAATTTTCCTGTAGATTTTCCTAAAATGTTCGTTCGTTCCAATCTTCTCCAGGCAATTACGAACATCTTAAAAATAATTTGAGCCAAATCGGTCAGGCCGTTCTCGAGTTTTAGCGAGTCAAACGAACAGCAATATTTATTAATTATATATATATAGATTTTCAATAAGTAATGAACATTTTTTACCTCCAATATACATAATGAACAACAAAGTAATCATTTTTTTTTTTTTTTTAATTAGATTTATATAAACTGATTTAATCAAGAAAATATTTAAGAAAAAAAAGGTTGGAATTAAACAATAATTAAAACACACTTTACTCTAATAACCTTTGTTAAGCCCAACTATTTGTTTCTCTCTCTGCGCTGATATCATCTTTATTAGGTAGGTAGTTTAAAAGTCTGTTGCCATGATTTAAAATGAAGTCTGAATATTATAGTGTAGTTTTTTAATGTAATAAATTACTAATGACCAAAATGTCATCATTTCAACAAAAACGTTTGAAAATATGTTTACCAATAATTTTAAAATAAATAATCGAAATAGAAAATAACCATTAAATACAAATTTAAATATTACAGCTGAATTGTATCATTTTATATTTTTCCCATTTTTAAATAGATATACCTAGTGCGAATCCAAAACTTTTTACTTATAATAACATTTTACCTTTGATCATAATCATTGTTAAACATTTGAAATGATGGCATCATATTAACTGTAAAACATAATCCGAGTATAGTCATTTTAGGTTGAATAAACTGGCAAAAATTTGGAACGGTTAAATTTTCCCATTTAGCTTCTGATTGAAATACTTCTGAACAACTTATTGCACAGTCCTAGGATTAAAATCAAAAATTATCAGTCGTATTTTAACTTTAAAGGTATTATTTTTTATAGCCGATAATTTATTTATATTTCAAAATAAATGAGATTCAATTTTAAAACAGAAAAAAGTATACTACGTTAAAGCCTATTAATACTCACGTTAATCAAATTCATAATTGAATCTGTATCAAAATAATCTTTTGAATATTTTTTTTTTTCATTATAATTGTAAAATTCCAAGGAACATATTTCAGATCGATAATATTTCAGATTTTCCCTGAATAAAATGTATGACTAAAATTAGAATCGGCACACATTTATTAACATAATCGTGTTTCTACTACACTATCGATTTTAGAAGACGTGCGAATATTTTTCTTTAGTATTGAATTTGGATTCCGTTCACAAATAAAATATGAACAAATATAATTCTCAGAAGGTTTTTAGGAACTTCTGTAGGTAGGTACTAAAATTAAATACTATTAAATATTTAAGTTGTGTACAGCATGTGAAAAGTAAGCTTCTAGAAGTAAATTGCTACAAGACTGTAATAAATTCTCCGTATTTGACCGGGTATGCTTACTGAATACTATATCCACCAAAACACTATACAACTTTAAAGACTTCCATAAAATTTGAATTTGAATATTATAGTAGTTTAAGCTTTTAATTTTGGAATATTTACATAGATTAGCTCTATTTACGTACCTACCTATTTAGATTTTTCTTCTCAGATACTGAGTGAAACGATGAATAACTGCTTTTAAAATATTATTATGATTTATATGTGTGTGTGTATGTGTTTATTTTTCTGACGAATCACGAAATGTTTTAAAAGTAAAAAAATAAACATTTTGGTCGTGGTTGGAATGTGGTTGGATGTGAATTCGTGGATACCTAGTCATAAATCATAATAACTATAGAGACTTGAAGTTTTCACCAAAAATTATCATTTTAAAGATAGCATGATAACATTTTTAAAATATTTTGAATCCTTTTAAGTAGGTACCTAATAATAGCGATTTTAAAACTTTTGTCTAACATTTTTTTCTTTAATTTATGTTTATATAACAGTTTTAGTTCTTAATATTATGCTTTGAAAATGTAATAAACTTTCCTTAAAATGTTATCTTACAGCAATTAATAACAAAAAAAACAAAGCCATCATTTTCTTACATAAACGGTTGAAGTTTAAACTTTGAAAAAATGGATCTTAAACAATTTTAGTTATTATGTTGTAATTTGAAAAATAGTTATTGATTGCTAAAATTTGGAACACTATAAAACATGTAGGTATATTATACCATATTAATCTATATAATCTCATACCACTGACATACTAATAGGTATACTATAATCATACTATTTAGTCTTAATGTTTAAGACATAGAAAAAAAATGTTAAATATATTGTTTTTTGTTTTACAGTATATGTACAAATCACACACATTATAAAATGTATATAATATTTATATACTTAATATAAATGAACTTATTTATTTAGATATGAACTTACCAATAAGAGCTGTTCGTGTCCATGTGTTTCTCAAAAACCCATTTTCGCAGTTGGTTTGATGGACAAATATTAATTGACGGAAAAGGTATATCTTGAATGGCTGATTCTGTGTTTTCAATGAACATGATGGTTGGCCTATCAATCCCAACGTAAATCAAAACTCTAAGGGCGCAGAACGTAATTGATATCGTACAAAGAAACGTCAGAATCCAAAATAATCTAAAATAACTTGTGATATAGAGTAAGCTAACAATTTTTTTATTAAATAATAATGTCTTATCAATTGACTATCATTATTCTTACAGACAATAAACTAAAATATAAATACTAGTGATTCTGTACCAGTATATTTTAATACGTATGACATACCATTTATACATTGATAATAGAAAATAAAAATATACACGAAAAAATAAATTTAATGGATGAGGACAAGTTCATCATTCAATTTTACATGTCAATATGAATTATTTTTATTATTACAATGCTTGAATTGGAAACATTACAATAAAGTGACATATTTTAGTCTAAAAAAAAGAGCTTTCCAAGAAAATTTGTTTCCTTGATCAATTTCCTCCAAAAAAAATTTAAAACTTTATTAACTTTTTCAATAAACCATAACATCACAGTAATGAAAAATTTAGAACAGTTAGAAACCCCTTCTACTAGTATACCCCATATTGAAATTTTTTTATACACACACTGCTTTAGAAGTACTCCACGCTACTCGTTACATTTATCTACACTAAAAATAATTATTTTAATTAAATGTACAAATGTACTAAATAAAAAAATAGTAATTTCAAAATAAACATTTTACGCGTTTGTATTATATTATTAAACTTACTTTTCTACGGGTGATCTGTCCTTCATCACAAAATACTGCATACAATGTGAAGTCGTTTTTTCACAATAATCACGAAACCAACTATTTTCAGTCATTTTAAATATTTTAAAACTATGACAATTTCTGGTGTTTTATATAAGTACAGATATTGTGTATTCCATAATATATTTCTACAACATATTGACAGCACTAGCAATGACGCACTTCTGTTTTAATTTGAATGGTAGTTTATTATTAGTTTGAATTCCTCGTCATGTTTAATAATAAAAATAAAAGTAGGTACCTACCTATTTATTTTTTTGGAGTGTCGACAGTGTCGTAAACTAGTACCTACAATGATGATAAATATTATAGTAGATAGTTGTTAATTGCGATGACCAATACGATTATATAGATAAAAATACATAAAACGCAAGGTTTTTAAGTGGTCTCTGGAGAATTAAAACATAATGTCTAATTATTTTTTTTTATTTTTTTATAGGAATTGTAAATGAAACTAAAAAATTCACTAATCCGAAATAGTCACGTAACTATTGTTATTAAACATATTTTATGAGAATACTTATTCAGTTATACTATTGAGTGAAGTCATTAAACGGTAGGTACTGTATTGCTTTAGCATTTATTATTTATTTTAAATAAAAATACAAAATACATTATTTTTTTGTAATTCAATA